CCCAATTAAAGTGATTTCATTAGTGTTAGTCGTATGTTCATCTCTACAATTGGGGGAGATATTGGTGGAATATAATAGGCAAGAACTATTGAGGATAACTTTTATGATGGAAGGTAGAAGAGCTTTGCAACATTGAAGCTATCTTCAAGAATTCATTTGCAATATGTTTGATATATAGTTCTCCTTTGATGAGAGGGGATCAGTGACCAAGAACTTCAACATGAATATTAGTTTTTATGGCAATGGTGCGTGTTGTTATTGTTAGTGACAACATACTATGAAGTTAGTGGGTGTCGATGTAGATGGGTAATAGCGATTGAAAAATTATAGTTAAGAGACCGTAATTCGCTTACGATTTGGGAGACCATGTTTGGGCTATAATGGTTAGGAGACTATCATTGAGTTATAATAACTAGCAGACTATAGTCTGATGATGGTGAGGCAAATGCCTTTAGGAAAACCTACCAATCATATATGATGAAATTCTTTACTTTCATATCATCACATTCACAAGTTTAATGTTGCCGCCTCTCGAACTAAGAAAGATGGCGTTGGGAAGTAAAATTATGGTCAGGAGATTGTAGTCAAAAGATCATAGTCAAGGAATGATCATTGGGAGACCTTAGTTAGGAAAACATATTTGGAAAACTTCAATCAAGTGATGGTCATTAGAAGATTGTAGTCAAACGATAATGGTTGGAAGACCATAATCAAGTAATAATTGGAGGAGACTATAACTGGGAAGCAGTGGCTGGAATAACATAATTGAATGATGGTAGCTGGAAGATTGTAATAGAAAGATGGTGGTTGTGAGTAATTATTACATAATTCTTTAAATTTCAGGAATAATAATATTTATTAGCTATTTTGAGCACAATATAGTCATTTTTCACTATAATCACATGAAATTAAAACGGCAAATGTTTAACTCTATTTACTAAAACTTTTATGTTCACAATTTCATTCAATTCCAACTCATAAATTACAATTTTTCTATATACAATTCATCATAAAATGCCTCATTTATTATCGGTCAATTGAAATTTGTAGGTCTTATCAATCGAATCTCCTACAATTTCGCAATTAATTTTAGATATTTCAATGCATTGAGTTGTAATTTTATTTTAATTGAACTTCTTAAGGTAGGATGAGCATTCAAATTCGGTCCACTTTAATTAAAAAAAAAATACCAATATGCTACACGTTTAAGCGCTAATTGAAATATTTAAAATCCAAATTTTGTTTGCTTTAAACTCCTAAAAAATTTTGTTCACACATTAGATACTCACAAGTGGTATTTTCATCTCTTTGATTAGTTTCAAGTGCATAAATTGCATGTTTAATGCTGACTCAAAAATTTAATCCAAATGTGATATTTGTTGGATTCACTTAAGAGAAAGCAATGATGCACATACATCATACCACTTTTTTTCTAATTTATAATGGGTTAGCGAACGTAATAATATCTTGACCTCTTTAATTCCCAACTGTTAGCTCACGTGAAGCTTCAAGGGATTGTTACTCAACTGTTATAAGGGAGAGCATCCTAGAACCTTCCAGAAGGATCAGTATTATCTCTCTCCTCCATTTCTTATTGGTGGAAATCACTCCCCATTTCAAGGGGGAAATGTTTAAAATAATCATCAATAATATTTTTTCTAAAAAAATACTACTAAAAATTTTTAAAACATCAGCTTTGTTTTTTTTTTTTTATTTACATTTAGGCTACTTAAGTCAAATTTACATACACATCAAATACACAAGACTCAAATTCGAAATCTCTTAATTGTTAACCTAAGATCACAACCAACAGACCCATGTGAGCTGTGTTTTATACTTTTTCTTTACATAAATTCTTTATGTAGCTCTCCTTGGTTTATAAGTTAGGACTTAGGCAAATTAGGTCATGGATTTGAGACTCGCGTATGTGTTGTTTGTATGTTTGGACGCTACCCTTAATTTTCCAAGAAACAAAAAAAATTAATTAATCCTAAAAAAAAAGAAATTAAAAAACAAATATGCGGTCACTTGAATGATTAATTATTTTATGCGGACATCAAATGACATCCGTAGACTAACAAAAATTCACAACGTCATCCGTCGCTAGATACTGTGGCTCGATACTGCTAGGTACTGCGGATGTAGCGCATTTTAATTGGTCTCCGAATGATATTTTGCATCCGGTCTCCGCACAATAATTTCTCCTCTTAGAGGGGCGCCATGTATGCCATATGCCATACAACTTAGGTTGTACTTAAAATACAAGCAATCTAAATTTCCACAAGTAAATAACCCCCTTAATGCATTTAGTTTACATCAAAATTAGTTTTTTTTTTTCGAAAAATCAAAACAAAATAATCATACAAGTTTAATTAGTTTTATCAATTGTATGACTCCACCTAAGTTGTGTTAGGCTTCTACAGCGATACAGCTGTAATTAATTCTACGTCACCACCAGTTCAAGAGATTGTAGAAAAATAAATAAAAAAATTGAAGAGTCGCAACCTTCAATGCTAAGGGGTTGATCATATCAAAACAGTATATTTCAGACCGTGAACCAAATTAATCACAATTTTAAGGCCGAGTTTGATTGAACGTTTTTTTGTACTTTTGTTTTAAGAATAAATTTACTTCTTCTTTTCTATTTGATTCCTCAAATCCAGTTTCCAATAACATTTTTTTTTTCTTTTTCTTTGCTATTTTGGAAACGCTTCTTATATATGATTCTCCATTAAAAATTTCCTTTTTCTAAACAGATATTTCTTAAAACTACATTTTACAAAAGTACCAAGCGAAACCTAAGAAATAACCATGCAACTAAATACGGGTTACAACGGGTCTTCATGATCCTTGGCTCATCCCTAGCCAAGTTATTGGAAAGGGTGACAGTTTTTTTTTTTTTTTTTTTAAAGATATACAAAATTAGGTGATATACAAAATTAGGTGATAGCAAGTCTATCACAATCTTCCATAACCATCTTTTACTAAGATGTAGGAAAATTACTAAAGGAGGTAACATTATCACATTGAAAATCACTAAACGAAGCTAAGGAGGCACAATAAATCGCCACCTTATTACAATGAGAAGAAACACAAAAAATGACCTTATGAAAATCTTTTAAAAAAAGAGAAAACCATCTTGATACTTTGCAGCTCCAACTTCTTTTTCCCTTTCATGAATTCTTGACAAAAATTAATCACATTCCGATTATCACCGTCAATTATAATACATTGCATATCATACATCCAATCTTGAACTATGTAATAAATTGCACTAATAACAATCAATTTCACTTGAGCAATAATATCCCAATGACATAACTTCCTTCCAAAAGCACCTAAAGACCTTCCTTTATCATCTCTTACAATACCACCAAATCCCGCCAAATTAGACGAGATAAGCGCATCATCCACATTGATTTTAATCCAATAAGGCGGAGGAGGTTGCCAAAAATTCCTCACAAAAAAAAAATCCCGCAATAAAAAAGAGACTTTCACTCCAGTTAGATTCTGAAAAGGGTGATAGTCGACTATTCTATTTGTTCTAGAAATTTCATTCTCTTGATTTATGGAATTCAATTTTCTTAAGAGTTAGAACCAGAACGCATGGCCTAAGCAACAGATCCAAAAAACTCTCCCACCAATTCAATGAAAAAGAATCTTTATAATCTCAATAACTAAACTACACATTGAAGTTGGAAGGCAACGGGGTTGTGCAGGCAGCTTCACAAAACTCTACCCTCCTAATCAATCATATCAAATCCTTTTAAACTATCTAAATAACAATAGCTGCAAACGTTAAGGGGCTGTTTGGTGGCAGGATTTAGTCTGGATTTGAGAAAAATCCAGACAAAAGGCCTGAAATGCAAAACCAAATCTCTGGGCAAATGAAAGTCGTAGACGAAGAGTTGTTTGCGCTTGCTTTTGAATGGTACACCGTACACTTAACTTCCTAATGATTCTATCAAGACATTTGCAAAAATGAAAAATATGTTCATGGAAAGATTTACTAGTGCTACTGAGAAGACTAATATCGCTAACCTTACCTTAGAGAAACGAAAAAAGGATGAGTTAGTAACAAAATACATCACTTACTGGCACAACATGAGTATGAAATGCGAACAACAGTTTCTGCCTTTTCGCGCTAAATCCTGGATTTCCAAAATTCTATTTTTTGTCAGTTTATGAAATACATTGACTCGAGAGGAAGAGTATGCTTGTTAAATCCGGAAGAGTATGCTTGTTAAATCCGTTCTATAGCCAAACAGTCACACATGGTTTAATAGGGTTTATCAAGAATGTTACCAAACAGTTTCAGGATTTAAGCTGCTCAAGATTTCCGAAATCTGGATTTAAATCAAATCCTTGGAGCTACCAAACAGACCCTAAGACTTCTTAATAGAAAGTTAGAAACTGCATTAACACCAAATTGAATCATCAGCATGAATAAACGAGACTATATGTACAAGACAAAAAACCTACACGAAAAGTAATCTATCAAACACAAAATCCGATTGTAAAAATTAGTAAATGAATGCATTTTCTTTCAGAAATTCATCAAAAACCCCAACAAAATAACTGCAACCAGCAACTTGATGGGAGCATCAACACCTGGAGCAATTGATTGATCTCTAAACAGACACCATCCACCATAAACCTACTAAACAACTATTGATCTCTAAACCCTAATCTCCCAATAGAAATTAATATATATAAAGGAAGAAGGAAGGATTTGGTAATTATACATAAAAATGAACCGTACTTGCCAACATCAATCAAAGAATGAATTAATCATGTACCACAGTGCCAGGAGGCTTCATGTGCCAACATTTTCCCTTCTGGAAGGCGCTATTTTCAAGACAACAGAAGAAGCAAGCTATGGTGAATCCAAATAAATAAATTCTAAGTGTAACAATCCCTTATTGACGAGATCGGGTCTGCGGCTCGACGGAAGAAATTCCTCCCATCCGTCCCAAAAAAAAAACAATCACTTACTGACATAAACAATAGACAACGCATAACATCATTTTATTGGCTGATAAATAGATATATCGACATATATGAAACTAGATGAACAACGACCAACCAAACCTAGAATCCAGATTTAAAACCTAGTAAACAAGAAAATCATCTTTCTGGAACCCATACGTAATACAAACTAATAACAGTAACCATCAATCAGGTGATAGCGACGACACATACAGCATGCAAAGAAACTCCCATCAGAGACCATCGCCCATAAACATGCTACACAGATATCTAGTGCCTGATTCTTCAAACCCGGCATCTTCCTTTTGAAAAAATAGAGGAAGATCGACGGACTGAGGAAATCCAACAATGGATTTGTCATCTACATCAGAGGCTGGCGTCAAGACGAAGGAGGTATAGGATAGTTCTAGTGGCTATATCATCATATCTTGAAGCAGCTTTGTTCAAAAAGAAAGGAACAGGAAGAGAACTAGGAGAAGGAGACGAGACGTAGGCCGGGCCAGCATAGGCCGACACGGAGGGTTTTGGAACAACCTTCGGATCTGGTCCCAATCGATCAGTCAAGCACGGAATAAAACTTTCCATGCCTTCCCCGGAGGAAAGTGGAGGGAGAAGCGGTCGCAACGCCTCCCCTCGCTTCAGAATCTTCACCTCCTCCATGACAAGATCTTTGGAATCCGACTTCCGCACGTTGGACCGTATAATCTTCGTAGCCAAAATCGGCGAATCCGGATGACGTAATAGGTTGGGACTCTTCCAGCCAGAAGATTTATCCGCGGCCAGGACAGGGGAGGGCCGAGACTTGGACGGTTTTCGCTTCGAGGGTTTCTTCGATGGAGGAAGAGTGTGAGATGAATATGCTGCGACCTCCTTTGGGAGCGGGAGCACCGCCGTGGACATCGCTACAGAAGCGCCGGCAACGACTCAACCGAGAAAGAAGAAGAGAAGCTAAACAGCTAGAGAGAGAAAGAGCTTTCGTTTGATGTGTGAGAATGCGAAATGGCAGTGCCGCGGGATTTTAAAGGCAAATGGTCCTCATTTGGTATCCGATCCAATATTTTTTCCACCCTCATCAGATTCGGTGGTAACCGTCCGATCAAGTGAGTCACAGCCCTAGTTACCTAACTTGTCGTGGGTCCCGCAGTTTAAACGGCTGAGATTTATCTGTAATTGAAATTTGTGCACTTGAAGAATACGAAAAGTTCTTTAATTTATTGGTGCGCAAGTTTCACGGTAGGTTCTCCCCTAAGTCGGTGGGGAAGGGTTTTGATCATATACAAAGTTAGCGTACGAAAATGTGATATAATACAGATCTCTTCCTTTCAATCAACTTTACGATCTGAACCATTCATTGTTCAACTAAATACTGCTTCGTGTTTCCTTCTCCAGTCAACACGATTCAATTAGGTTACGCTTCTGCCGTGTAGGAACGAATAATCGGTCCATGAATTTTTTAATATAAAAAAAAGATCAGTCGGTCCGCGTCGTCACCTCGGGTAAGGTAATCGGCATGGACCAAGTCCACGCAACTCTTCATTTTCTTTATAATTAAAAAGTATTTTTTATTTATTAAATATATTATCCCTATTTTGATGGATTCTTTTAAACGCGATGTTAACGGCAAAAACTGACGCCGTTACTGATTTCCTTTTTCCAATCCTTATCGGAAAAATTTGGTCACGTTAGATTTTTTTATTTATTTATTTTACATTTAGAACAATTTTGGCAAACTTAAGACTAAAATAGAAGACCTCCTCATTGATATGATCCCAACCAATAGATCAAGCTGAGCTGCTTATGTTAAACTTTCATTAAGGAGATATTATTTGGTTGTGGAGTTCAAACGGAGCTATACATTCGGACTCTAATAAAATCTTGGCATATGGATTGGACATGTGGATATTCAATTGAATTTCGTTTTTTATTTGTCATGTTTAATGTTTTAAAAATCGGATCAGACAATAAACCGGATGAAGAAGAGATTCATGGTTCAACTGGTTCGACCGATCGAACCGGAGTCGAATCGGATTACGTAATAAATAATAATATTATTAGAATTAATAAAATTTACATAATAATATGATAATCTAACATTAATCTTAGCAAATATTGGAATTAAATAAATACACATTTTACACTAAAGCTTCTTGTCTCTCCCTCACAACAAGTGATATTCTATAAATTAGATGTATATTCTGATACAAGATGTAAGTTATTTATGGGATGTCAACTATTGAAAACTGGAAGTAAAGTGTTATGCACTTATATTACAATATATAATTGTTGTGGGCTAGAATATACGCGGCGATAGAGTTAGAATTTTTAGTCTCTGCGTTGTACGAATATCCAGCACACAAACATAAGAGAAATAAAACACCATGATTTTTATGTGAAAAAACATAGAAAGGGAAAAACCACAGGGTCACATGTCACGCCCAGTTGAAAGAATTCCACTAGTGTTAGCTTAAGCTACAAGAAGCTGACTCGTTCTTAATATTTAGGACGATCAAATTACAATAATCAACTCTCGGATTGAAATTCAATTGCAAATGGATATCGGAATGCTGGCATCAGTTAGTGATCATATAGAAAACTGGTGTTCGTCGGTTGTTGGATAGAGTTCTAACGTCACGTGGAAGTCAGGTGGAACTCCGGCGTCACTTCGAGGTCGGCGGAACTCCAGCATCACTTAAAGGTTGGACGGAACTCCGACTCACTTTGGAGTTCTGGTGGAACTCTAGTGTCACTTGATGTAATATCTTGGTGACCTGCTGGGCTTTGTAAGCTCATTATATGTGGTTTAAATTTTCAGGTCCGAGCAAGGCAACTGGAATGGAGTTCGATCAGAATGTCAGACGAATCCTTTCACTATTTGATTCTGGGGCATCACAGGACGGAACTCTGGCGTAACTTGGAGTTTGGGTGGAACTCTAGCGTTACTTGAAAGTCGGACAGAATTTTGGCATCACTTGGAGTTCGAGTGGAACTCCGGCGGTGGTCGAGGAGGGGCTTCTTCCTTCTCATCCTTTTCTTCCTTCTCTTATCTTCTTCTTCTTGCTTGTTGCTTGGTTCCCCTCTTAAGTAAAATGGGTGACTATTTATAAATTTTTGAGAGTGAGATGACTAGTAAACAAGAGGAAGATTAGGGGTAGGTTGGGAGTGATTTGAATGGATGGTCGATGTTGAGTCCCTTGATCATTGACCGTTTATTAAGTATTTGAAGGCTCTAATGATATTAGAATTTGATGATCTTGGGCTCGTTGGATTTGTCTCATCGAGCCGCTCGATTCGACCATAAATATGTCTTATTTGGAAACTGTTTGCTAATCCAAATTATGGATTGAACATTCCAAATGCACTTCATGTCTTTGATTTGAACTATTTTGGGCTCGAATTGAGTTGAATTTGGTGTCGTTGGGTTCATATTTTCGATACATTCAGTTCAACTATAAGTTTGCTAAAATCAAAGTTTAGATGGTCCCAAATTTAATTTTTGAAGCTTCCAACTTATTTTTACCTCAAGATTCGTGCCCGATCAAAATAAGTCTTTGATGATATATCAATAATCATTAAGGAATATGCCTCTTCGTGAAAGCAAAATAACTAGCCAACTTCACTTCAGTCTTTTTTTTAACATATAGTAGTAATACTTCAGATCATATCATCATGATCGGGCTCAATATGATTTTTGGGGAGAAAAAAAAAGAAGCTCTTTAACCTAGAAGAGAGAAAAACTCTAGCCACATTATTTAGAAGAAAGAAATTCATATCCATTTAACTTATAAAAGAGAGATTATGTTTAGTTGACTCTGGAAGGGGAAAAAAAGGGCAACTCTCTCAAAGAAATAACAATGGTTCGAAGTGTAACGTGGTTCTCAATTTATGAAATAGTAGCAATCAAATATGAAAGGAAATGAATATGTTAACTGCAGCTCTTACCTCCTAAATGCACGCAGAAATGCTCATCCTCTAATACACGCGAGCAGGATCAAAGAAGGGAGATTTTCGCTCCAAGCTGAGCGCGCACACACATACAGAGAACTTCTATTCCATTTCTCTTGCTCGACCTAGAACCAGCACAGGCCCACAAAGATTTCGTCTCCTCTTCAATCGGCCCAAGCACATAGGAGGAAGAAAGGGCTTCCATGTGTGAGAGATAAGAAATGCATAAGTAGCGTAGGGCAGACGGTTGAGCACTTGAGGTAATTGATTCCCTAATAAATCTATGTTATTCAATTTTTGATGGGCGGCTAAAATTTGCGATTTTAACAAGCGGCCGGTTCTTTTAAAACTATCAGGTCTGATGGTTATCCAGTTCAACCGAGTTCTTAAGCGATTCTTTGCCGGTTCAATATCCATTCGATTTCTTCAGCTGCTCGTATCGGCCACCGTACCAGTTCACGGTTGAACTGGTTGAACCGACCGGTCGGGTTTCATTTTTTAAATGTTGGTCATGTTAGCCTGATCTGTGACATCCCAGGCATCTATAATGAAAGGACTCACCGACAAACAAAATCCAGCTTTTCCTCTTTTTCCCTTTCTCTTTCTCTCTCTAAAATCAGATATTTTGTTTTAAAAATGATTTTCTCTCTCCTCAAAACGAGCTGATTTCCTCATATCATTAGTGGGATCGGCCCGGCCGATCGCCACATCGTCCCGGGACGATCAGACCAAAATCGATCGTCCTGGACGACTCCCAGAACTTGTTTCAGGCCGATATTTTGAACAGTACCAATCGGCCTGGACGATCTCAATATCGTCTCGGACGATCCTGGGAGGAAAATCCAAGCTAGAGAGGAATAGTAAGGGAACGAGGTCTCACACGACATCCCAGGCATCTATAGTGAAAGGACTCACCGACATACTTTTCTTTTTATTCTTATTTTTTTCTTCGCTCAGATCAATACAGACTCATAAATGATAATTACATTACGACATTTCATATTTACAAAAGTAGCGTCCAAAAGAATATATATAATAGTCACACAGGCTACAAAACAATACATGAACCAAAAACTACGAAAAACTATACTAGTGTTTGAAAGAAGCTTCACGTGGGAGGTTCTGCACCTGAAATCATTAACCACATATAATGAGCTTCAAAAAGCCCAACAGGTCACCAAAGCCTACATCTGAAATCAAAGCACGGTACGGAAACAATATGCATGTCAATCAGTCAAATCAATATCAATCACTCGCACATGATCATTGAATCGATGCAGATACAAAAATCAGTACATAAACATAAATCAATGCATAAACAGTAAAATCCAAAATCATCACTATAAGAATCGGTAAACAGTAGAAAAATCTATAAATATCAATATATCAGTACATACATCAAATCTCAAAAGAATCAATCATATCTTTAAATATCGGTCAAATCCATAGAGAAAATCGTAAAATCTCGCACAGGCTTGCTTGGGAGAATGAGGGATATGGGTGGGGAATTCTTTTGATGTCAATGAGAGGACTTGGTGAGTATATTGAGAGTGAGTTTGTGTTTGGAGGATTTATATGACAGTTATGTTAGCATTCATGTGTTATGCTTCCTCTTGAGTAACTCCCAGAAGAATATCAAAAATTTGCACATAAATTATTCTATTGTTATCAAATCTCCAATCTTAGAGAAATTAGTTGAAATGAGCTCTATGATAAATATTTTTGCATACCTGCCTTTTCTTTAAGGTAGCAAATAAATTGTTAGACTTCTTGGTATAATAAAAAACTTATGTATTACCTCATCTAAGGAACCATGGTCTAAATATAAGGTACCTAGAGGCATTTAGTGAGAAGTGCTCTAAGAAGAAAATATGTATATGATCAAATATAATATTAGCTAATGAATTAATAATTAGAATGATACACAGATGCTCTTAGCAATCACAATTAGGATATGTACAAAATTATTTATGTAACCAAGTGGCTTCTTTATAGTAAATCTGGTGGCAATTTTGATAGGAACCTTATTGGAATTTTTAATTTATTGAGGAGAAAAAATAAATTCAAAATAAAAAAAAAATTATAAATGTCTTTAACGTAATTGATTGGTCAATTGATATGTTTATTTCTATTATTCCACTCTTAATATCAGTTGATAAGACTCTTGTAAGGGGCTTGCTCTGCCCTATGATCTCAATACCTCTCTTTGACAAACTTGTGAGCAGAGCCATTTCATTAGATGTGAATTTCAACAAATAACCCTTAATGATGAAACCTTGCTGAGAGATATCCTAGAATTTCATCAGCTTATATATTAGAGGAATATTTTGTTGGAATGGTGAGAACTTCAAAAATTAATAGATGTTTAAAGTCTTCAAAAAATCCTTGTGCATTACTTCGACAAAGGAGTCACAAATAGTTTGAAAAGTTGAAACATAACAACAATATGTAATAGGCCAAACATATGGAGCCATCTACAGGCAATACAAAAAAAAAAACTTTGTGAATACAAAGAAAAATAAAGTAAAAGCACAGTAAAATAGAAGTAAATATGTAGTAAAAGTGCACTGATATCGTAGTATAATTGCAGTAAAAGCAATAGTAAAAGTGTAACATAAGCGCAGTATCCACACACCAGCAAAAACATAGTAAACATGCAACAACAAAAGCACAGTGAAAGCATAATAATAGCGCAACTAACACTTAGTAGCAATCAAAAGCACAATAGAAGTACAGTAAAAGCCCAAAAAACATGCATCAATAAAAGAGCAGAAAAATCACATAAAAAAAGAGACGAAAATGAACGAAAACAACCCATAAATTTAAAAATTATGCAACATAATTTTGAAAACTAAAGAAGTCGATAAAGAGTTGATACCATGAAAGCGCAACAAAAGCTCACTTAAAGCACGATCAAAACGAGATGAAGAGCGCAAGTAACTCAGAAATTTTAAAACTATGTAACATAAGTTTTGAAAAGTGAAGAACTTGGTACAAGATTGATACCAGTGAATACGCAGCAAAAGCGCATCAAAAGATGGCAGGGCGGTGATGGTCCAACGTTGGTATGGAGAAAACCGATGGTGATCAGTGGTCGAGTGGAAATTTGGTGGCTGTAGGCAGCCGGGTGGAAGTCTAGCGTTGGTCAGGTGGAAGTCCGACAACGGTTGACGGCCGGGTAGTAGTTCGGCAGTGGTTGGCGGCCGGGCGGTAGTCTGATGATGGTCAGGTGGAAGTCCGACGATGGTAGGCGGGTAGTCGTTGGTCCGATGGCGGTCGACGAAAGTTTGCCGGCGGTGGTGCTGGAGCTATTGGAGGCTCAAAGCTCTCTCCAGTCTATAGTCAAATGTAGAGAGTGAGGATTTATTTATAGATTTTTGAGAATGACATGACCTGTAAATATGGAGAACATCTGAGGCAGATTAAGAGTGCTCCATCGGACAACCTATATTGGTTCCCCAATAATAGAGCATTTTTCAAATGTTTAAGTGCCTTGATGATGTCGAAATTCAACGATCTTGGGCTCGTTGAATTTTTCTCGCCGAGCTGCTCGATTAAACTATAAGCACGTCATATATAGATATCATTTGGCCATCCATTTTATGCTTTGAACTATCCAAATATGTTTCGAGGCCCCCAATTTGGACTCATTTGGGCTTGGATTGGACCAATTTTGATGTTGTTAGGTTCGTCTCTTCGAGACATTCACTTTAACTAAAAGTTTGCTGAAATTGGAGTTCAGATGGCTCGAATTTTAATTTGGAAGTTTCTAATTTAAATATGTCTCGAGATTTGTACACGATCAATATTATTTTTGGTGATTTATCAAGTCACATAATTTTGACAAAAACCAGATCAGCATTTAGAAGCAGGATCAACGGCATTGAACATGAGAAACTAGCTGGTCACTTGCCGTCACGTTCGCATATCTATGATTTTTGAAAGTCACCTCACGCTCACACTTGGTTCTTCGTTTACAGCTAAATTGTTAATATTAGCAAGGGAATTTTACACGCGTATCGGCAACACCTCAGCTCGCCCTTGAGATCTGCAGAGAGGCAAGAAAGGAGAGACCTTACCGATCTACTCTCTCCTGGATTATTCACGGCATGTCTTCTGGTTCCCAAGCTTCTGACGACCATGTCTCGAAAGACGCCGCCGCCGCCGCCGCATCCCCTAGTGACCGGGAACTCCAGTATTCCGGCTGGGTTTATCACTTGGGAGTAAACTCCATCGGCCACGAGTACTTCCATCTCCGCTTCCTATGCCTCAGGGGCAACTGGGTCGTCATGTACAAGAGGGATCCACACGATGACCCTGGCACTGTCAGTAACCCCATTTTCTTCAGATTTTCGAAATCTTGCTTCTTTTTCAGTGATTTAGGTTTCGTTCTCGAGCTTTTCGGGCATTAGTACTTTTAGCGGCACTGCTTGTCCACCGTAGTATGTACTGTTAAACTAATGAGGCAATTTGGTAATGCCATGGTTGACATGATTATATAAATGAGGGACATATCTGAACTGTAAACTTCTTATCTGAGATTTTTGTAGACTAGTAATTTAAGCAAATGCTACGGATTTATGCTGCAATTCAAAGTTTATAATTTATAGGGAGGGCATGAATGGTGAATGATTGATTGGAATGGGATTATGATTTTATAAGATGATGCGCTGTTTCTGTTTTTTTAAAGCACGTTAAGAGCAATATGTGGTAATATTTGACAATATTTTTTGTGCTTATTAGGGGTTTGTAATACAATCCTTTGAGATAAGGAGATACCTTTGCTTTATATCTCAAGCAATTCTAGATAACACCAACTGAATGGCAGCTGAACAATATATCAATTGTTCAAAGTATGGATTTTTGTTTTTTAAGAATGAAACATTTAGATTGGAATTTTCACTAAAGGATAAAAGAGGAAAAACATGGTATCGCCTTGCGAAGATCAAATCCAGAACTACTAATATATACTGAATGATTGTGGTAGATATCATGCTATTTTCTCTCAAAAATTTTATGGCGGTAAACCTTATTAGCTGTTACAAGCAATGTAGGCTTTCATATAATCTTTATACTTCTTGGTTTTTCAGGTAGGAGTAAGATCCCAGCTATTATTGTTACATGTTTAAGTTCATTGGTGAGATGCATAAAAACTAGGCAAACTAATCAACATAAGATCATAGAATTCATGATCACATATTACAAATATTAATTATACCACTATACTTGGCTATTTTCATGTCTACAACAATACCATAACAACATCCATGCTTTTTTTTTTTGAAACGATTCCATTGATCCCTCAATGGTCCCCAACTAAATTAACAATATAATTTTGTTGTTCATAATGCTTCTTTCTGCGTTCTTTATACACAATAACTTTTTTAAATTAACACAGTTTTCCATTTGCACTGTCAATGATTTATGAATTAGCTTCATTTGTAAGACTGGAATGCTGGAATATTGGTTTTCAATATGCTGCCATGTTGTTTGCAGGGTTTATAACTATAGCAAAAATCATCCCATCAACTCCTAAGCTTTGGCTTTTCTACCTAAATGTTCTGTTAATCTTGCCTCTTAGGTAGTGTGGTCATTGTCGTTCTTTACTATAGTTTACCTCAGCAGTATGTTTTTTTGTTAAGATTATCACTGTCTCAAAGTTTTCTTAAGCGTCTGTCATTTGTTTAAAATTCAAACTTTACAGATTTTTTTTTTTTTAAATATTTTATCTGCTAATATCGCAGAGACCCATCAGAAAAGGCTTTGTTAGCCATTCACTCATGGTCGAGGAACTTGGTCGTAAGGAGATCAATTCTGGGGTAAGTTCTTGTGATAGATGATTTTTATTGGCAGAAGGAGTGATTTGTTTACTTATTAAGATATATTAGTTCTAAATGAATGATTTTCTGTTCCATTTGATTGAAATTTTTAGTATCATTCAAGTTTTATTGGCCAACTTTCTGTTTACCTTATTTAAAGTATTATGAAACTTTGCCTTCTTATGGATATGCTGCCTCAAGAGAATCTAAAGCCAAAGCTGCTTTTGCAGGAATTTTATGCCATCAGGTTTTATAATCGTTTGGATGAGACAAAAAAAGGAGAAGTATGTAATTCCTATTTTAACCTTTATATTGGCATATATAGAAAATTATACTGTCGAATATGATTGATGTTTCTTCTGAAATCTTTTGCTAAATCTTATATGGTTTCCTTTCTGTGATTGTGCACTGAAACTCTTTTTTTTTTCCCTTTCTTTATTTAGTGATACCATTTTATCGAAACAAATATTTTACTTTGCTAGAGCTCATATTCAAACCAGTCATTGCTGCCAAAAACTTTCGATTTTCTTACTCTGCTCCAAATGTTCATTTTGTATATTTGAAGTCAAACAATGTAGTTCTAGATGAAACATTGGAGTTGTATCATGGTGAATGCTATTGTTATACATTTTTCTTCTGCATCTTCTTAAACTGTTCTAGATTGATTCTTTAAGATGCTATCAGATTGCTTGTGCTACTGCTGGAGAGGCACGGAAATGGATGGAGGCTTTTGATCAGGCTAAACAACTTGTATGTAATATCTTTTTCATATATATATAAATTAGAATCATTTTATTTTACAATTTAACTAAATTACTAATCTTGTATGCAATTGCTCACATTTGAAAAATACTCTTATTGATGATTATCAAGTCAACATAACAAATAGGTACTCTAATGATGTTTAGCAATTTGAAAATGTTCCAAGATCATGTTACGAACACAATGCCGCATGGAATTATGGTCCATCGCTGTAATCCATCAGCTTGGATGAAGAGTTTCTAAGTAGGAGTGTAAGTGAGTTAAGCCGACTTGTGAGCTGGCTCGAGCTTGGCTCAATACATGGCTTGTGAGCCAAGCTTGAGCCATCCTTGAATCGCTTGTTAGCTTACGGGTCATCTTATTTAAAAATGTTAATATAAAATGTACTCAAAATATATTAACATTTAGGGTTTTAAATACAACATTATAAAAAATGTTTAAAAATTATATCTCATTTTTTATAGTAAGTTATTATTTATCATTATTATTTTTAATTTCTCATTCTTTTTATCATGTTATTATAATAATTACTTAACTCATGATTATTTACTCTCAGCTAGAACTTGTAGAATAAGGCTTGCTCGAGCTCGAACTCAATTTATTAATCATACTAACGCTTAAGCCCAAGGTGACTTGAGCTCGACTTGACTCGTTTACGCCACTATTTCTAGGTGACAGTGAGCTCAAGGAGGTGTTAATAGGGTTATAAAATAAATGGGTGTCCTAAGTTCCTTTATAGTTTGTAATGGTGTGTCTAAGGGGATATTTGGTTTGCTAAAAAAATAATGTAGAGTAAAAGGAATGTAGCGTAAAAATAATGTAGTGCATTTAAACTATTTGAAGTTATTTGGATGAGTGTGAAAGTAATGCATGAGATTATTATTTTTTATTTGGCTCGAAGTAAAAATGGAGTAGATTTATTTGAGAAATGCAGTGTATTTTTCCATTTTCTATGTGGCAATCATTTATGTACTATCACTCTTTTGTTATTTTCTTCTTTTTCAAATTCCATTCTAACTAAGTTTTCACATGTACAGGCAGCAAATGACATTCTAAATGCATCAAACTGGCATAAACTGTCGGCTGACAGCGAGTATGCTTACTCTTATATTTAAGTGCTCATAGGGACATGATTTAAGCAACCTTATGTAATGTATTATCAATCCTTCCATCAGTTATTCTAACCTCATTAGTCTTGGTGTGAAAGGCTCAATTTTGAAGGTCATCGACCCCGAATGAGGCGATATGCACGTGATTTGAAAAGGCTCATAAGAATAGGAAAAGGCAAGTTGACAACTCTTACTGCTGATGTTAGGAAAATTCATTGAGTGCTGATATATTTTTTTTTTATAATAAACATTTTTTTTCTTTACTTGTTCATGGTCCTTATGATCTTACGCATTGTGCATATTTAATGCATTTGTGTGGCATGACTGGTTGATCAAAACTGGAAATAATTATATCATATTTTAGTATTATAAGTGATGAGTTCTTTGTATTAAATTCACAACTTAGTCAGGACATATTAAGATGCAATCCATCTTTTCTTGCCAGAATTGGGTGAGGCATGCCAAAACTATTGGCCTGGTTGCATTCTTTCACCCCTAAATATCAGGCTTGTACCTCAAACAGGCAAGCATTGAGGCTTGCAAGATAGCCAATGCTGCGAAGGAGCGGCAATTATGGAGAATCTTTGATGGAGTAGACTAGTTTTATGTGTCATCTGTGATGTTCTGTCCTCAATAATCTTGATTTCTCATATGTCATATCTCCTTTCCTTTTGATGCAACTGATTAAATGGTACTGATTCATCATCAAAGTATGTCTTTAGATGCATCGTTGATATATTTCATGGAAATGATTCTTGACTATTATTTAGTTATCAGTTAAAAAGAATATGCCATACGTGCAAGTGGTCATTTTTATTTTAAAAATTAAGTTGATTGTACTTTTATAATTTGGATGTAATATGTTTATTCCAAATAATATGTCTTAATAATATGTTCAAATGAGAATTATGAATGTTTCAAATTGCCATTCAAACATGTAATTAATTCTTATGTGAACCTAAATTAAAAAATAGTAATGATATATGATTAGTAATTGTTGAATGCATGCTTTGATGTACCCAATCTAAAAAAAATGAATAAAATAATTTTGTTATACTAGAAAAAAATATTTTCACATCTTTAAATAAACGTAGTTGTAGAAATATCATATGAAAAAATAGATTAGCAACATAGGGATATTAGTTTTATTGTATTTGTAGTTGTTGTAATAGTTGAAGTGAAAGTGGTTAAGAGATTTTGAGAGAGAGAATAAGCATGAGCATTATCTTATGTTGACAATGATGGAAATTTGAGTGTTTACATTTAGCGGAAATGTTAATAAAAATTGACTTGAGCAAGTTTTTATTTTATTTTATTTTATTTTGTACTTTCAAGTTTAACCATTTTTTTCGACAAGCATATGATGTTATTCCTATGAAGTTATTATGTTTTCTCTATTAATTTAATTTCCTAGTGTTTGACTAATTTATATGGTTTAGTTTACTTTTCAGCTTGTTTGTTAGTTTTATTCTTTTGTTCTTAAAAACAAATCAGTAGTTGTTGAAAATACTCAAAACAGCTTTGATTACTTTTTAGTGTTTTTAAAAATAGTCATTGCCAAAGACCATCACCATTGCCGCTGTCGGTTGCCACTACCATAGTCACAATTGCTGACTACCGCCTCCACCACCGCATTCGTCAGCTGACTCTATGTACAATAAAATAAAAAATACATTTTAAGTTATCAAATGAATATGATTTCTTATCAAAATATTGACAAAATAAAATAAAAACAAAAAATAAAAAAACAAGAATGATACCCAAAGGTCCTAAGCTTATTAGAATGAAAAAATAGCTTATCTAATGCAAAATCTTTTTTTGGTTCCTGTTGAGTGCTCGAGGGATATCATAATCTGCAGAATAGGTGGTAAATGAGGTTTTATTTTTTTTTTGGGGGGGGGTGCGGAGGAATGAAGTGAATTCATTTTATAAGTATTTTGGTGTAGTAAGTTAAATGAAATTATCAGTAATAAAGCGGATAAAAAAGCTGTATGAATTTAAGACGGAACAAAAGATTTAGCAGCTAGCTTCCAGGGCATAAAAAATGCCAGTTAAAGCTAAAACTAAAGTTTCTTTTCCTCAAGGGCACAACAGGACCCAAAATTTCTTTCTATTGACAGTAGTCTAGGCATCACTTGTTGTATTTTTACATAGGAGTATCTTTCTGCTCTCATAGTCTTCCATTTTGAATATCTACATGGTTGGTCAGAAAAAATATAAATTCATAATCTGTTTAATGGAATGAAGCAAGAAAAAAATTTGCACTAAAATATAACTGATAGGAAATACTTGAGTTCGCAAGTAGTCCTATTGGATTTACTTGAGTTCGCAAGCAAACCGAATCAATAATTAGTAAAACTGCGAGAAAACGAAAGAAACGTGGTGGAAGAACAAACCAACGATAACAAATCTTATAATAATCAAAGGGAAACAAGAACAAAACAAAGATACAAGAGATCCTTAATTCGAGAGGAGGATCGTCTCTCCCAAATCTCTAGACAAATTGTCAAGAGTCCAAGCCTCCAAGAAACCCTAATTCAAATCAATTAAAACATGAAAAACTCCTAATCCCCCTCATCCCCTTTAATACAAAAGGTTTCCTAATATATTTTCCCTCGCAAACCCTAGTCTCCCCACTTCGTTTGAATTTTTAATCAACTGGGATAGTGGCCTCGCCCAATTAGGCGGACCAAGCAGAGGAGGCGGAAGCCTCCGCCTTGTATAGACCAGCTGCTCCCTTTGGGCCGGCTGGTTCTGGACCAGTCTAACAATAACATTATTGAATAGAAATGCATATTAGAAAACTATAAAAGACCCTTCTTTAAAACCTTCATTGGGGCTGCTTCTGGGATGATGGCACTATGGACTCTCTATTTGTGTTAGTTTTTGTTGACGGAGCATTGTTTTCCTTTAAGCACCCGCACCTCAGGGTGCAAACGAGTCGAGTTTTAGCATTATCAAGCTCAGATTGTCAGTCGGAAAGCGAGCTCGAACTCGAGCTCGAGCTCGACTCGTGAGCTCGATAAGCTCGGATCGCAAGCCTATAAACGAGTCGAGCTTGAGCTGGCTCGCGAGTTGGCTTGACTCACTTACACCCCTAACCACACCTAATAACCCTTTTTCCTGGAAATTGTAAACTTCACAGTTCACAGCAGCAGCACAGTTGGCATAGCTTTCTTGTTGGCACAATAGTATTGCCAGTTTTTTGTTTTTGTTTTTCTTTTTTTGTTGTAAAAGATTTTTACTTGGGAAAACTACTATGACCCTAGTGCATTCCTAAGAGCTTTTGTGATTATGCATTCTAATATACTGGTTCTTGCTTTCCAGGATTCAATAATGCTCATTTCATTTTGACGTATATAATTGTCTTGGAGGCAATGGCATGCCTTTTATATACCTATTATAGATTACAAAATAAATGTGGTTCACCTAACTTTAGTATTACAGGCCCAGAAATGCTTCTTCAGAAGACTTCTGAACTGGGGAGTCGTTTGAAGACAGATAGATATCTTGAAGGTGAAGTAGGAGATGCCATGGAAGCACATGAGTGGAGATGCATTCGTACTATAAATGGTAATTGATTTTTCTGTACTTAGTAGCCAGTATTAAGTTGCTTCCATATAGCACACGTTTGTGAATTGTTAGGATAAGGTGGCATGAAACAGAGCTTGGGATCCTTTCTCCCCTAGATGAAACGTTGAAGTGGTCGTGTTTGTGACTATTGAATTCAAAGCAAAGGGCATGGGGTTATTTGTCACACCCAGCGATGACCCCTTTAGGTTAACATGAGAGGAGCAGAGAAATACAGCACTAACGCATTACATTCTATTACTTCTAACCCGTTTGAGGTATAAAATATTGATCATTCAACTGAGCAAGTTATAACTTCTCCTAGACGGAAGCAATTGCAATCAATAATCATCCATTTTTGTACAGAGCTGCTAAAACAATTTATGATTCTTCGTTATAATCAAAATTTTTATATATAAGCCATAATGGACAGATATGCCAGGACTCTATCTTACAACAAAACTATTCATCTAACATATAAAAAAATGACCCTTATTTTAGTTCTACCTTGTTATTTCGTTTACCTGAAATGACATTAGACTTAATATGGTATGAACTAAACCGCTTTGCAAGTTAGCAACTTGCATAATTCAAATATCAAATAATCAAAATGTGTTACCTGAAAGCTTTAAATATTAAAATACTTGGATAACGTTTGATTCTCCCGTAACCTACATATCTAGTCAGGAAACAGAACTTTAAACAGAACGATTAAGCTTCAAGCATCAATAATATTTTAGAAAAAGTGTGTACAATTTGCATTATGTTAATTAATCATCTATGAGTTTTTTTATTGGTTACGTACATTGTATGCGTTTCTTTTTCCTTTTGCCTCTTTAAGGGTCCACCTTTGTTACCCTTACATGTACAGGTCAACTTACACATTCTAGCTAGAGGACCTTTTTGCCTTCAAATGATCAGACCTTTGTCTCCTCACTGGCACATGTTATCACATGGCCTATCTATTCTTGTATATGATCTTTCTGAAGCTAATTTTAGTTGGTTTGATATTTTGAGTATCTGGATGTGTACATCACTTTTCCCTTCTTATAACATTGTATACATACATTTTTAGGCTTGAAAGTTGCTAACATATTTTATATTTCCATAGAAAGTACATCAATAAAATTAACTTGTATACCGATCAAAAAAATCGAATTAGACTCAATTATGGGAAGAAAATTTGATTTATGATATAAAGTTGCATATCTTACCTTATTGAGGATGTCAACGATCAATCCCTGAATATACTATTTCGTTACCGACACCTCAAAGCCTCTATCATCGGTAGACAAGCTAAAGAGTAGGTATTTTGCACATTAAGTTCTAACTTCCAACTCACTTAAATTTTAAGTTAACCTCAAAATAATATTTTTATCTCAAGATAATGCCTCATATAAATATCAAATTCCTCAACTCCGATTCGTAATCAAAGAAACCACCAAAAATAGGATTTTTGCCTCGAAATTCCAGCTTTTCCCCTATTTCTTTTTCCTTTTTTTAGTTATCCTGCAACTTCCTATCTGTTCCAGTGCATGGGAAGGGTTTATTAATGAACCGTATTGCTGTTGGGGGCAAATCAGTAAATCCGATAGAAATTTATAATAAAACTTTCTTTCTTCCCATTCTTCCTAATATACCCTTAGCAAACTCCTCATTACTGCCCTCCAACTCCTCATCAAGGGTAAGTGGAAATAAAATTGGATTTGCCGGAGTACAATCCAAATGAACAATGTTCTTAAGATTTAACTTAGGAAAAAAATAATTGAAGCTAAGCTAATTCATATAAGCTTATATGCTCGAAATTTCTTATAGATATGTATATATAACAAAATGATCGGTACAATTTAGAGGATTTTATTAAAATATTATTTATAAATTTGAGATGTGCAAAAAATGCTTTATATTAATTTTGAGATTTTTACCTCTTAAAATTTTGGAATAATATATTATCAATATCCTTAAATATACTATTACCTTCACTTCTCCATGTCCAAGCAACAGAATTATCAGCAGCCCCACGAAAAGTTATATTTTACAATCCTACAGTAAACCAACAACACCTGAATGTGCCATAGTTTGCTCTTCAATTGGCAAAGAGTTCAATGTAAAAAATTGGGGTATGCATTTCTAAATTAAAACAGTGATTATTTAACGTGTTTGCATTGAAGCACTTATGGTTAGACTTCCCATTATAAATCATCTCCATGACTTCTATTTTCTAAGAGCTTTTTGTGAAACAATTTTACAATGTTTCTTATCCTCATAATTCTTCATCTTTTTTGTAGGTATCAGAATATTTGAGGAAGCTACTTCTTTGAAGGTAGTTTCTGTTCTTACTGAATTTTGGTCATCCTAGTTTATTTCATTGCATTATTATCTGTTCAACTGACTTTTGAGATTCCTTATAATCAAGGCAATCCACCTTCTTATCTTGTCATATTTTTCAGAGAATTTTACTTCTGGGCTTTAGATCAGGGATGAAATGATAAATGAAGCAAAAACGTCTTTGTTGAAGTGCTTCTTTAGTTACTAAATAATCCTATATCACGATTGTAACATTTATAATGATACTGTAAAATTATTTCTGGTTCTTTAGTCTTTGACCCTCAACAATACATACATTCAGGCCTATGGCACCTCCAGAATCATTCAAGAGGTTTTTTCCTTATTCTATTTCTGCCTAAGAATGTCTTTAATTTATGCACGAGGTCAAATGCATCCTTAGAGAATTAGGGTCTTCTCTACTTCCTAGTTTTTTCACATTCTTTCTCTTCATCTTTTGATTGCTGGTCCTCTTCAAATGAAACCTTTCTTCTACTCATTATAATTGGCATACTATAGGTTTCTCATTGATCCTTTTGTCCACTTCCATTAGCACATTTTCAGCGCTCCTTGGCTACAAAACTACTCAACATGCAGTACAAGGTTCTGATTTTCTTTGTTCCTCTTTTCGTTCACTCTCTCCTCTTCCCCAATTAAGATTGACTTCCTCACTCCTGATTTCCAAACACCATCGAAAAAATTAACAAAATAATTCAGGCCTATTCTTTCAAGTAATTGTAAAGTTGGTTCTGTTTCTTTTCCTTTCATCTTAATTGTCCGATGGGTTTGCTTAAAATTTTTTCATTAATTTAAAATTATTAGTTCCTTCACTAGTTTTATCTCAATTTCTTATGATCTTCCTTTTGGCTCATAACTGCCATTGTTTGGCCTCAGTTCTTCAGAACATTCATCACAAATTCTCTCTTAATTCTGGATCCTTTTTAGTTTTGGAGGGTACGGTACTTGCACCATTTTTGCATGTGCTTGCACTGGTTGCTTGACACTGCTTCTAATTGCCAGCTAAACTTCAAGGTTTGCAAATGGCCACGCATGCAACCGTTTCATTGACCAATAGTTCTTGCACTGGCTAAGTGGGTACTGGCTTTCAATTGATAATCTTTAGCAGGAGTGGACTCCCTACCTGTGCCTTCTTTTGCTGTCTTATGCCATATAATACTGAAGGAAAGTTTCTCATTGGTTAAATATTTAAATATGATGATAATACTATCCAAATTTAAGATGATTTTCTGAAAACCTTTTTATTTCATGATGTTCCTCCCATTGTAACCCTTCTGTATTTGGATCGTTTTGGGTTCTTTGGATATTCCTCCAGGTTTACTCAATATCAGGTATTACATTTGCTACATTGAATTCTCTCTCTTCTCTCTCCCTCTCCCCTCTCTCTCCTCTCTTTATTCATCTTGCCTCCTCCCTCCCCCCTCTACGGAAATCAGGTGTTTGACTAATTCATTGATGAAAGTAAACTTGCAATCAGAAGTGTAATTTGTTCAAAGTATACCTGTTGCAATCCTTTTTTTTAATGGTAGATTTTTTGTTTTGCTTAGATTGGCTAGCTTATCTCAAGCTTTATTCTCTATAAGAATCAGATTGAGCTGTAAAATTTTAATTGTTTTCTGGATGATGTCTTGATAAAGTTTGTTGAGTTAAAATTTTTGGCATTAACTACAATAGACCTAGTAAACTTGGATTGCTACATAACTCACATATGCCATGCTTTAGCCAAAAACAATCAGGAAGATTCTTCATGCATCTTTTCCAACATGCAAGCTCAGCTTGGCTTTGCCAGTTGCTCATATGCTTCGGGCACTAAATGTGCTGTTATGTTTAAGCAGTTTTATTCAAACTCAAACATTTTTAATCAAGTATATGCTGCAATCACTTAATAGTGCCTTCTTGTTTTTAGTTATGCTGTCTTGCAATTTTATGGCTATTCCATTGTTTATATGGGGGCCACTTTTTTTCTAACTTTTGTGAACTAGCTAGACGGGGCAATAGCATGACTGGCATATATTCCAATTACCATCGTGGATCTTGTGAACAACTGTTAATTTCTTGACAAGGGAACATGATGCAATCATGCAACTTGTCCAGACCTCTAAAAATAGGTTTGCAGTGATGTTGGAGCTTCATGATTAGGTTTAGCTTATGTAATTAGGGTGAATCAACTTTCAATAAACTCTTTTCAAGAATTTTCATTGATCTTCTTTTAACCTTTTTATTGTATTTTATGCATATTTTTGTAGCCTAACATGCTTCAACTGCCTTTTTTTTCTCCTAGCACTCTAATCATGAATCTTCTATTTGAATTAACTTGGTGTGAGCATGGTTTAAATTTTGACTTTATGATTTTACCAAGTTCCATCTGGCCTTTATATGAGCTTCCATTTTTATATTGATTTAGGTTAAACAAATAACATTTTTGAAGGCTTCTATGAGTGTTTTAAATATTTAGTTTTTTTTTTTAAAGTTAGACAACATAATTCTTACGACTACTTCATATTAATAGATTTGGTTATAAAAAGCAGCTTTTCACCTCATAAAATTTTGAAAAGTACTAAGAAAATAGTAGCCCAACATGTAATGGTGTTTTGAAAAACAAAGCAGTGAGAAAGCTCCCCAAAACAAATCCTTAGTGCAGTTAGGTACATTTTGGAGGATGAATTCTTTACCTTATTTTCTTTGGTGATAACCATGGGTTTCCATGCTTACGATGCCTTGAATACATTTCAACATAGATACACTTGCACAATTTTTACATATTATAAGCTCTTCGTGTTTGTATATATACTCGAACTTCGGTGGGTAGATCTGAAAGTTGATTGGGAGGGGATTCCAACCCGTCTTTTTAAAAAATAAAATCATTTCCAAAGAATTATAAATTGCATCTCTCTTCATTTATTATTCATTTGTAATTTTCTCCATCTAATGTTTAGATTGCACATATTTTCTAATCTATTTACTAAGGGGCCATTTAGATATAGTATTTAAGCAAGATTTGAGTTTAATCTTACCAAGTGCCGGAAAATGTGTCGTAAAATCTCACAGCAAGTTAAATTCCAATTTAATGTCGTTTTTTAGCTTATTGCTCTAAATCTGATAGTTTTCACTCACACGACAGTAGACACACCGACACAACCAGACGAATGTATTGATTTTGCCCACTCTAAAAAAAGGCTGGATCCGCCCCTGCATGTGAGAATGTTTGGAGCTATTCTTAATCATATGTATTTAATACTCATTTAAGAGTTTTAATATATGATGCTTATATTAATTTATTAAGTTTAATATTAAATTAATTTGTTTAAATGTTTAAAGAAAAAAATTGTTGAACCGGCCGGTTTTAGAAAACCAGACTGGTTCAACTGTTCATCGGTTGAACCGGCGGTTCTTGCCGGTTCAGTCCGATTTGGTGCAAAGCCGGTTCTTAAGTTAGTTCGGACTGACCATCGACCGGTTTACAGTTGAATTGGTCTAACCGGCCAGTCTGGTCCGGTTTTTAAAACTATGCTCTACATTATTATAATAGTTAGACTGTTATATTAAGTCTTTCCCAATGCCTATATTAGCAGGAAACCTCTTGCAATGGATGCACCTTTTCTGAACATATTTTTATAATTGTTATCTTTTATGCAGGTATAATTAGACTAGTTTTAATTTATTAGTTATATTATGATGCCCTGAACCATCCAATTTTTTTAATCTTTATCTGTTTTTTGTTCCAAAATATACATTATCTTTTTTATTTTTTAAGAAGTTTAATTTAAGGACTTCTAGAAATTTTACCATTGAAACCTTTAACTGCCTCTTTGGACACTTGTCGCACCCCTTCTTCCCCATCCCCGTCCTCCAGGCTTATTCCTGGCACCACTGCATTGATGTGCTTGCATGTTAATATTTTTTCTGCATTATATATACTTAATATATTCATGTCCCCTCATATTAGAATTTAGTGGATTACATTCAGAGTTCAAGGTGGAGAAGTTGAATAGATTGTTGTATGGTTGAAAAGGTGCGCAGAATGAAATAGAGATTGGGTTATGGGTGGGTCGATGTGGAATGTTAAGAAATGGATATGGGTTTATGGGGGATTAGGGTTGTGACTCAAAAACACAAACATAAAATAACAACTGACATCCATGAGAGAGAAAAGTAAAAAGAGTTTTTTGAATCTTTGTTTTAATTTTGCAAGAGCATGAGCTTCTGTTCTTCACTTCTTTTTATGCATTGTAGAAATGGCTTAGATACATTCAAAGCTCTAGCTTTACCATTACACGCTAACATTTCTGTCATCCGTAGAGTGGCAAAGATTTCCTTCTTAAATCTGTGGGTGTTATCGATGCAAATGTGGATACGGTCTTTGAAGTCGTTCTCAGCCTTGATAGACATAAGAGACACGAGTAGGTGGAACTTGTTACTTTGATGTATAGTCTTCATTCCTTAAACCTTAACTACTTGCAGGTGGGATATGTTGACAGGTGACTTGGAACTTTTAGAGTCAGTTGATGGGCATTATGATGTTGTTTATGGAATCTATGATCCTAAGCATCTAACTTGGTATGAATATCTTATTATGTATAATTTTAATCAGAGCTAGTATTTAACCTAATTGTATCTGTTGAATCAAGTTGTGCATACATTTTTGCTTATTATTTTGCTTGCCTATTATTACTTCTATGCTAAGTTGCTTGGTCACTTTTGTTGAAGCCGCATTGTCAATGCAGGTATGAATCTGTAAAAGGTTCTTTTAGTAAACTAGTTTGTACAATTGATTGGAAAGTTTTCACAAGTGGATAGTCTGTAAGCAATGGTTCATGAAGTATATGCGTAGAGTGTAAAAGATCTGTTGGGAGAGTGTATGATTATGGCAAGTATTTTCTATAAAAAATTTCAAGATATTCTTCTTGCTAATATAATGTAGACTACTCTTTTCAAAATATGGGTCAATATGCTTAAATGAGTGGCAGGTACGATGGGCCTTTCGATTTTTGGCCTTTAATGCGTGTAAATGGTTTCCTTAAAAAACCTCATTAAGAATGATTTTAGGTTAATCTTGAGGCAATTTTTGGTGTTTCTCGTAATAGCTTAGATGAAGAACTTTATTTCTCCTCTTTTAACGTTTTATTGGCAGTCCGGTTGTTTTTTTCATCCAAGTTTGAATTATTTTTCATGTTGATTTGTTATTATTTTTTTGTGCCATGGCTTATATTCATGGTATTAAGCAAGTTGATAGTTCAAAACTCACGTTATTTATTCTGTTTTTGTGTTAATGACTTTTGTGCCATCTTTGTTGGTTAATCGTTTATAGGTCTTCCTCGAGAAAAGATTTTGTCTTCTCCAGGCAGTGGTTCCGTGGGCAAGATGGGGAATATAGTAAGTTTGCATTTCTTACTTTAAGTGTGAAATATATGGATATTAGTAAAGTTGTGATAGGAAATACTTGCAGAAATTAAAAGAATCATGGCTGAAATTTGGAATTTCAACAAGATAAAACAGAACTTGAGATAAATTTGGTGGCAAAACATTAGAGAAACTTGATAATTGATAAAAGATGAAAGAAAACAAACAAGGTACTATGGATCTTTAATTCGAGAGGAAGATCCGACTCTCCAAATCCCTAGTCGATGGCTAGAGCTCAAACAGACCCTAAGAGATAACCAAATTCAGTAAACACGTAATATAACCCTAACCCTAGGTAGAAAAATCTACTTAAAACAAAACAAAATTCTCTAATCATTCAGCAACCCTTTACTTTGAATTTTCCCTCCCAAACCCATCCTTAATTAATGCTTAATTGACTATTAGGCCCCACCAAAGAATCCCGCCACCTGCTGGGCGGAACCCTTGTTCCCCCTGGTGTACACGTGAACCAGTCCAGGGTGGATCGGTTTAACAATACTTCCCTCCCAAAGATCCACCTTGTCCTCAAGGTGAAAAGATGGGAATTAATGCTTCACCCTCTCATATGGCTCCTAGGTGGCATCATATTTGGGTAGGCTCTTCCATTTAATCAACATTTCCTTGATCTCCCTTCTCCTTGTCATACCCTTTTCAGCTCCAGTGATTCCAATACCACCTCCAAATCCTCAGTCAGTGTCGTCGGTAACTCTAAACTAACTGCATGCTCCCCAAGAGCTCTCATCAACTTTGATACGTAAAACACTGGATGTATGGTAGCAGTTGAGGGTAACCTCAAGCAATAAGCCATTGCTCCATTCTTCTCCAATATCTTATAAGGGCCAAAATACCTCGGGGCCAACTTTTCATTCTTCATGTTGGCTAGTGTCCTCTGTTTGTAGGGTTGTAATTTTATGAACACCATATGCCCCACTTCGAATTGGATGTCCTTCCAATGTTCATCGCCTAATTCTTCATAATCTATCGTGCCTTCAACAGATGACCCTCTAGTTCCTCTACACCTTATCTCTTTCTTCCAAGTATTGCTCTATTGAAGAGACTGGTGTGCTCCTCTGCCCAAAATGCACCAAGTGTGGGGGGTCTCTTCCGTACAGCACTTTGAAAGGAGTCATCTGGAAAGTTTAGTGATATGAAGTATTGTATCAGTACTCCACATCTCCGCCCATGCTAGCCTTTAGCGCGTAGTTGAGGTGTCTCTAACGGCAAACACTGCAGGTGAGTCTCCAGGCTCCTATTTACTACCTCTATTTTCCCGTCTGTATGAGGGTGGTAAGCAGTGCTTCTCTTTAAAACCGTTCCTTGCAGCTTGAATAACTCTCTCCAGAACTGACTGAGAAACACCTTATCTAGGTCAGATACTATCAAATCTGGGATCCTATATAATCTAATCATTTCTCTGATGAATGCTGCTGCTACTTTAATTGCCGTGTAGGGGTGTTGTAAGGGAATGAAATGTGCACTTGCTCAACCTGTCAACCACCACTAGAATCATTGTAAACCCCTTAGATCGTGGTAGCCCATCTATGAAATCCATGATGTCCTCCTCTCACACTCTGTCTGAAAGAGCCAAGGGTTGAAGTAATCCCCTTGGTGCCATAACCATACTTGTTTCTCTAGCATACCTCACACTTAGGCATCATCTCTTCAACATTCTTATGCATCCTCTTCTAATACAATTCTCCTGCTAATCTTATGTGTCTTTTTCATACCATAACAGCCCCCAACAATTCTCCCATGGAACTCCTATAGCAGGTGGAGAAAATGAATCGAGGTCCATGATAGCACAAACCTCCCTCGGTACAACAGTCTCTCACTGCTAGGGTGGCTATTCTGACCTTTTAGTAGATATACCCTAATTCACCCCAGTCTATCATCTTGCACACTCTTCTCCTTAATAGCCCCCCAATATAGCACAATGGTACCGAAATAGCTAACTCTTGGATCTCCCATGCATCTGGATAAGGCATCAACCCCTTGTTTTCTAGCCTCGGCCTATATTGGAACTCAAAGTCATAGCCTAACAGCTTTGACAACCACCTATGATATTCCTCGATCACCATCCTCAACTCCAACAAATACTTCAAGCTTTGCTGTTTTGTCATGATGATGAAATGTCGGCCCAATAAGTAAGACTGTCACTTCTGAATGACCAATACAATGACCATCAATTTCCTCTCATAAATTGACTTCAGCTGAGCTTTGGCTGTCAACATTTTGCTTAAGTAGGCTATGAGTCTATGATTTTGCAATAGCACCTCCTCTAATCTATATCCCATGGCATCAGTCTCTACCACGAACATCTGTTTGGCTAGGACCGGGATCGTGGCCATAGATGTCTTTAATATCTCAGTGGCCTGAGTGGCTATTTCTCCACACAAGAGTTGTCCTTCAGCTGCTCTGTCAGAGGCCAAGCCATGGTGCTGTTTCCCCTCACGAATCTCTTGTAGTACCCCATCAATCTTAGAAAGCCCCTCAGCTCCCTCAGGTTCCTAGGTAGAGGCCATTTCAATATTGCCTCAATCTTGGCCTGGCTGCCACCTTTTCCTGGGATACCATGAGCCCCAATTACTCCACACTAACCTATGAAAAATAACATTTCTTCATATTGACCCTCAACTAATCCTCCTATAACACTTCTAAGATTGCTCTTAGGTGCTCTAGATGCTCTTCACTAGACTTGCTATACATCATAATGTCATCAAAGAAAACCAAAATAAACTTCCTGAGGTAAGGTCGTAACACCTTGTTCATGAGGAACTTGGAAAATAGCAGGAGCGTTAGTAAGAGAAAATGACATCACCAAGAAGTCATAGTGCCCTTCGTGTGCCCTGAAAGCCATCTTCGGAACATCCTCCTCTCTCATTCAGATCTGATGGTACCCGGACTTCAGGTCCACCTTCGTGAATACCTCTGCTCTCTAAAGCTCATATATCGTTGGAATATGAAACTTGTTTGGCCAGTCTACTTATTCAATGTAATAACCTAAAAGTATGCAATGATTTTTTTTGAAAAATATGAAAATTTTGAAGCAGAGTGCTATGATAGTAAGCCACTAATAGTATTTATATATATATTTATTATAAATATTTATGTCTCACCTCTCCGCTTTCCTCACTTGGTTGCTTGGCCGGGAAGAAATTGAATGAGAAGAAGAGAAAGAAGCGAGAAAAGTCTTTGGGTTGTATATGCCCGCCATTCATGTTAGGAATTTTATTTAATTCATTGTAAGTAACTATCTTCTTACTTGTGTTTTTTATGATTTTGATTTCTATAGTTTTATCTTTCCTAAATCTATAAAAAATGCTTTATATTTTGATTTTATAAGCTTTCATTTTATTACTTTTGATATGTTATAGATTTGATCATTCTGAACAATATGATATGATTTTATTGTATTTTCACTAGCTAAATGTGTATAAAAATTTTTGGGTGAAATGAGCAGGGAACAATGACTTTGGAAATGGGTTGAAAAGTGCTATATTGTGATTTGACATGATAAGGCTGTAAGATAACATGTACTAAAATGATTGATATGATTGAGTTATGCAAGAATGTTTGCTACTAGTCTGAATATGATATGATGTATGCATATGATGTATTGATTAATATCAGATATATGATATGATAACCTCATGTGACATCCTTAAGATTTATATGGTCCACTGACGAGAGTCAGTGGATAGGAGTCATAAGGAGTTGGAGAATGATTGGGAGTAGGAGTTAGGGTGACTAATTCACATGATTCAATTGAAGTTATAAGGAGTATACTGAGTAGGAGTCATAAGGGGCGATTGATTGAGAGTCATAAGTGCAAGAGCAAGATACCCTTAATATACGATTATACCCTCATATGAATATCTTATAGAACATTGATTCATTAGTATAATTAATTGCACGTGTTACCCGTAAACTGAAGATACCCTCATCTTAATGTCAAATATTGATATTGATATTGAAATTTTTATTGACAACGATTATTGATATGGATAATGATATAACATTGATTACTGATTTTCGATATTGATATTGATTAATGTTACTGATACTTTTACTGATACAGTTCTGTTACTGATACTGAATATTGTTATTGATATTGTGACAACAACTGATAGATTGATGTGAGATGAATAGATGATAAGATTGGATGAAATTGATTGAGTGATAAAATTAATTGACTAACTAGTTGATTAGAGTTTATGATGGAAGAATGAAATAAAATTGATTGAGATATGATATATTATAGACTGATTATTGATATAAATAATTAATATAGATATATTGATGTATATATTTCTTTATATGATTTACAACATTGTTCTCTTTTACCTTGCATTGATTGCAATTGCAAGATTTTGATTACTTGGCTATATGCTCATTACATGATTTTACATATTTTTAGGAAAATGTAAGGATCCTATGATATGAGTCTCTGGCAGCATGCATAATTATTTCCACTGTTCATAAGAAATTTGTAAGCTCTAGTGAAATGGCTAAAATGAAATATATATGCAATTCTTCCAATATAGATCTCGTGGCATGACATTTAGGGCTCGACAGTCCATTCAAAATCGCCAACTTTCATCCTTTATCTTGACTAGTAAAACTGAGCTAGAAAAAGTGCTCTCACTCGACCTGATGATCCCTGCCTCCTACATCTCCCGGATCAGCTTCTCAATCTCATCCTTTTGGATTTGGGCTTATTGGCAAGGCCTGACATTGATCGGTTTTACCCCCTCCGTCAACGAGATGGTGTGCTTCTGTCCCCTCTGTGGTGGAAACCCCTGAGGTGGCTGAATAATCTCCCCGAGCTGCTATATAACTGATTGTACTGAAAGAATGATGTCCCTCCTTCCTCCTTTCTAATATCCTCCAAACTATGTAGGTCCACCAGAAAACCTCCTCCCACCTTCTGTATGGCCCTTTCTATGATTTTAGAGACATCATGGCTTTGGAGAGCCTTACATCTCCCCTAATCACTATCCTTCTCCCTTCCTCCATCAACTCCATTATCAACATCCCCCAATTCACCTTGATATCCCACAAGGTATGCAGTCACATCATCCCCAAGATGACATCAACGCTCTCTACCTCCAATGGTAGAAAATCCTCCCTCACTTGGATCCCTTGTATGGTCAAGACCACTCCCTTATACACCGCTTTACCCGTCTCCTTCTCCCCAGTCCCCATCATCACCTCATAGCACCCTATGTCCACTAGTTTCAGCCCTAATTGGTCTACGACCTGTTTGGAGATGGAATTATGGGTAGCCTCACTATCTATCATCATCACTAGCTCCTTATATGCTATTTCTCCTCTTACCTTCATAGTGTGATTCGGGGTGAATCCCACCATTGAGTTCAGGGAAACCTCAGCCATATCTAAATGCAGCTTTTCCTCTCCTTTGTCGATGACTCATCTCACCTCCCATTCTTAGCTTTCTCGTCATCACAGACGGTGAGAACTTGATGAGTTAGGTCTTTACATCCATGACCCAGCTTGTACTTCTCATCACATCTGAAACGTAACCCTTTGCCCTCTTATCCTACACTTATACTTCTGTAAATGGCTTGAAGTTGCCTTTAGGGCAAACTCCACCGCTCTTCTCCCTAGGAACTTCTCTCTGGAAGGATATTTTCTGGGTTATGTGTGCAGAGTTGTAGTACTCAGGTAGGCCCCTCCCATGATGTTGCTTTTGCTGGCCTTTTCTCTTTTATATTTTTTGTCCACCCTCTAAGCCAACTCCATCGTCTTCCTCAGCCCCCTAGGCCTCAGTAACCTGAGTTTTGCCCGTATGTCCTACCTAAGCCCTTTCATGAAATTTCCCTCCAATCCTTCATCTGTGATTCCCTTCAGTCTCCCCGACAGTAGCTCAAACTTCTCTCAGTACTCCATAACTGTCCCCTCCTGAGTGAGGGCATAGAACAGGTCGTGAAGATCTCCTTTCTGAATGGCTCGAAAAAGTTTCAACAAGCACTCCTTAAATTCTCCCCATGAGTAGATCGGTTTCCTAGCCTCCCTCTATTGGAACCAAGCTAGGGCTTTCCCTTCCAAACATAGACCCATTGGCATGAGTTTTTCCCTTTCAGTTAGCCAGTTAATGGCAAAGTAATGTTCCACCCTGTACACCTAATCCTGAGAATCCTCCCCTTCAAAGACCGACATCTTTAGCTTCATTGCTCTCACATCCATACCCCAATAGTTTCTCCCCCATTAGTTCCTCCGGTGTATTGGTGGTGTGATTCCCTTCCTTCCTCCCTTGGTTGATTTTGCCCCCCCCCCCAACCATGCCCTTCTCCATTCCACCTCTCCCATGCCTGGGTACTCTCCCAAAGTGGTTGACTTCCCTCCTTGCTACCCCCCTTTTAGAATACCCTGATCCGCCCACCGATGGGGCCCCACATGGCGATCCTTGATGGAAAACACTCTCCAATTCATCACCGTCCTCCTGGATCTCTTTCCTCATGCGTCCATCATAGGAATCGTCGGCGATGCTTTCGATTGCATCTCAATCATTTTTCATCATCTCTTTAAAGTTCCCAAAGTGGTTCTTGATGGCTGAGAGTCTTCCCTCCATCCCGAAATATTTTTTTTTTCTACTTCAACCTCGAGTTGTTCCATCTTGCCCTCAAATGCCTACATCTTTGCTGCCATTAATTGGATTGGGACTCCAATCACAAAAATAGTGAAGAAAACTTCTTTTTTCGCCCAAAAAAATGCTATGATATCAATATGATAGGAAATACTTGCAAAAATTGAAAGAATCTTCGCTGAAATTTGAAAGAAAAAACAAAAATTGAAAGAAATTTGGTTGCGAAATACAAGAGAAACTTGATTATTGATGAAAGATGGAAGAAAATAAGCAAGTTACAATGAATATTCAATTCTAGAGGAAGATCTGGCTCTCCAAATCCCTTGCCGGCGTCTAGAGCCAAAATAAACCCTAAGAGAGAACCAATTAAGCAATGACATAACATAAGCCTGACCTTAGAGAGAATAATCTACTTAAAGCAAAACACAATCCTATAATCTCTAAACTGCCATTTACTTTGAATTTTTCCTCTCAAACCCATCCTTAATTCATTCTTAATTGAATGTTGGGCCCCACCAAAGAATCCCACCCTCTGCTAGGCAAAACCCTTATTCAGCTTGGTGTACACGTGAACCTGTGCAGGGTGGACTGGTCTAACATGTTGTAATCAAACTGTAACCAAATGATACATTAATATTTTTATTTTTTTGTCCATAACTAGCTACTAGTATTCAGTGTCAATTTTGATAGTAGGGCTATATCTCTCTCTTGTCAATCATGAGGCGTAATAGAGGTAAACAATCCAGCCAGATATTTTTCCACTAGCATTTATTCTGCCTATTCTTTTAAATAAGGATTGAGAAGAAAATTAATTTGACTAGAGCGTTACAAAATATATCTCATATTTTAATAGATTCATTATAATCATCTATATGAAAACATGCATAATTTAAATTATCAAAATAGACTTCAACGCTTCTAATAATTTAATTAAAAATTTATACATATCAAAAGTCTTTAATTTACATAATGTACATTCTTTTTTGTATGACATTATGTATATTCTTTTCTATATATCATTCTAAAATTATACATTTATCCATAATATTTGGGTATAGGATAACTGGATTCCCTAACTTTGGTCACATTTGCTTTTTTTCCATTTCTGAAAAATGGTTATCATAATATCTAATGAGTTAAGCTCTAAACGAGATAAATAATTTTAATATAATGTTCAAATATATGAGAAGGAAATAATAATATGCATGATGATCTTTTGAATTAATATGAACATTTTTTATTATAGATATTGCTAGCTTAGTGCAATAATAAACTTTAAAAGAAAAATTTGCTTTAATATTTAATAAATAAAATGTTTAATTTTAAGTTAGGAGTTTGAGCATCTTTAAGAAAATAAAATGCATATGTCAAGTGGTAATCATGAAGTGCAATCTATTTTATCAATTAATTGCACCACTTTCATCACTGTCATTTTTGTTTTCGTTAGTACTTGTTAATTTCTTAGAAGTGTCATATAATGCATGCAAGTTTTTTAGGTCATTTATATAATTGGTCGTCATTCGGCTTTAAAAACCATTGATAAGATTTGGATAATCTAATATAACAATTATACCTATCAAATCAAAATTGAATTTTATAGTATTAATTTTTTAGTATCGAGAGTCAGAAATTCTCCTTTTCTTTATAGAATGCTCATTTTGTTAGAACGTTTGCTTTTCCTTATGCAGGTCACATAGTTTGCCAACATATATCACTTGACATGATCTTTGATTAGTTTCTTTTAATTTAATATCATTATCAATAATATTTGATATTGCTTAGCATTGATATTCACTTGTTATGAATTAATCTATTTTACATGCTTCAATGGTAGACATGATATATAAAAATCAACATTCAACGATCTTATGAATTAAGTAATTAAAAATATCATGAGTTTATTTAAACATGTGATTCTATACAAATGAATCTTTCTTTCTTCTCTTCTTCTTTTTTTTCTTTTGTGTCCCTGGATCAAGCCCTCCTTTTTTTCTCCTCTTCTTCTTCTACTCATTTTGTTCTTCTCTTCCCTTCATCTTCTTCCCTTCTTCATCTTCTTCTCTTCTCCTTTTCTTTCTTTTTCCCCATTTTCTTTTTTGTTTTGCAGTACCGAACCCTCCCTTAAAGCCCAATTCCGCCGTCAGCTGTTATGGAATGGGATAAGGATAAGGGAGAAATAAGATAAGATATGCTTAAATTATTAGTAATATTATTTATTAGATATATAATTAAACTATCCTATAGACAATTCCTACCATAAATTTGTAAATTTACCCTTGCATGACCTGAAAATTTTAAAATATTGAATTTCGCTACAATGTTTTAGTTGGTGAATAGTAATATTAAATATTTTAAGCCATTTTATTTAATAAAAACTAATTATAAAATACTAATACACTTGTATATTTGTATATACTCCTATATATCAATGAATCAAAACAAAACGTCGAATTTTATATAAATAGCTTTGATGATTATCAAGATATGTGAAAATGGGTATAATTTTAAGGAGAAATTTTCTTTACATATATTTGAAAATTTTGGTTTATTGCAAGGTTTGGGACAAATTTTAAATAGAGATTGATGCATAGTTTAATTCCTTTAAGTTCTATGCCACTAGGATAAAGATTATGTAGAAACCATCTATGACAAAAAATAGCTAGTGAAAATAAATTTATTTTCATTTCAAAGTTTAAGATGAGAAAAAGGATGTTCAGATTACAGTTAACATACATTAAATCTAACGCTTTGATTTACATGAAGTTGGATTGACCGAACTTACTCATGAACAAGGGTTAGAAGATTAAAATAGTGTTTAAAGCAAAAGTGACAAAAAAAAAAAAACAATTTTATTTATCTCAGTTACTCGAGGCTGAATATTGAAAAAGTTGACTAAAGTTGCGACTCTTGAAATATAGGTACGTGATGATGCGAATTAAAAATTGGTTTGGGTAAATTGCAGTACAGTGAAGCAAAACTTAATTTTTTTTTAAAGTTATAAAATGTAGTAGTATAATACATACAATATGCATCATACTTTGAAGGCATAAAATACATGTATTTTTTACATCTTTTGTAGTGCTCTTGTGCTCCATAACAGTTATGTAATTGTTTGTAGCTCATGTAAGCTGTTTCCTTTTCATTTATATCATTCTCATTTGTTTTCTGTGCAGCCATTTTACAGTTTCCAGCTGTTCACAAGAAACAACCTCCAAGACCAGGCTATGAACGTATAAAAGTTAATCGTAAGTTCGTGCTTGTTTCCTAGCTAAAATCTTTATACTAGAATATTTTGATGCCCTTTACTTGTTCGTGATGGTTAGTTATCTGTTAAAATGGAAGAAATAGAGGGAGAGCAACAAGGCAGAAATATTTCTGTATTATTATTTTTACTACTTGGACGATTGACCCTTATAACAAGAAAATATAAAAATTTTGGAATTCTATAACAGTTATTACAATTATCCTTGTTTGAAAAATTACCTAAACAAAGCTTAGAGAGAGAGAGAGCGAGAGGCGCATGGTTTGCTTAATTAACTTCCATTCCTACTTTGAGCATGAGAGCCACAAATAGTAGGAAACTGCAAGCTTCATTTCCTTCCAGGGACCAAAATGGATTCTTTAGCAGCCACCACTAACATCATTATAGGGAGGTACCAAATCCTATAGCAACATACCGCTAGTTTTCATTCCTTAACAGCAGCACTCACAACAAACATTCTTTATCTTCCGAGGAATCTGCAACAAGTGTCGTTGCCACCCTCAAGCTAGATTTTATACATCAAATAATGCAAGCTTGCCTATCATTTTTTTTCTAGGATTCTTGTCAATCCCTTGGCCAAAATATTTGCAATTTGCTCAAACAAGGTTATATAAGAAATATGCATATTTCCATGTCCTATTTTTTCTTTAATAATCAATATTTCTCCACGTGTTTATTACGATCATGATAGACAAAGTTATGGACCATGTTGATGGTAACCTTTCCCTTAACGCAACTATGGCGCACCTCTGCTTCCATTTCAATCCGTGCTGCTAGACTGATTCTTTCGTTATAGCTGCTTTTGTTCAAAGATGTCCTCTCAAGTGCTTGTATGGAAAACACTATTTTCAGCTCAGTTCTGGCCTTCCCTCTCGACGGAGAACTTTGGTAGAGGCACTAGTTTTCTCGTACTATAATGCCATAGGATTCTTGATAATAATATGAAGTTCTAGAGTTAACTTGAGCTATGTTAACTTACTAATCTTATTAGCCAAAGATCTATACTCAACTTTTGCACTATTTCTTGCCAAACCATTTTGCTTATTACTTTTTTATATCACTAGTTACCCGAAACATAAGTACGTCACTTAAATTTCGATCTTCATTCATGTTAGAACCAACTCAATCAACATCAATAATATGTATTCTGAAAATTTAACTTGGAACTGCTAGAACTTTCTCATTAAAGCCGGCATGCAATTTTCCGGAGCCCACAAACAAAATCAATTGAGAAGGAGAATGTTGCAATAGAGCACTCAGAGTAGTTCTGAATGTCATCACCACCATCAATTCACCTGAGTTGATACATCTTTTTTGGATCTCAATGCTTCCAAAGTAAAGAAGAAAGGTTGAAAAGAAGAAATAGCTTCAACCCTCTTTAAGTTTGGTGAAAAATGAAAAGAATAAAGTTCCCAATTCCTCACAGTTAAATGAAAAAGAAAACCAAAATGGCTCTTGATTTCTCCTTACTCTACACCTCTTGCCGTATGGAAAAGAAGAAGAGAAAGTGTTCGAATGAGAAGGAAGAACAGGTTGCCCTTTCTCGGTTTCTCACAACCCAATTGATTGCCTCCCTTGATTGCCTTTTAGTTATGAGTATAGCTTCAGGGAAAATTATGAGGAGACAAAAATACCCCCAATCGGTTAGAGATCAGCAACTAAGATCATTTCTTCACTACTTTTGATGCTGGCGATGGTAATTGTAGAAGGCGTACAAGAGTTGCTAGGTGCTTAGCTGCTCCCCCATTACACATCTCTAGCTGCAACCGAGCTTTCGGATGGCTGAGGAAGGCCAAAGAAAATTGTTGAAGGTTTGATTTGGATGTGTGCTGAACCAGCTTAAGCCAATTTAGGATCAATTTTGTTTGATTTTGCTCAACATGATTTAATTTGGTTTGATACCACTTTTGTAACACCCCGCAATACCCTTTAACAGTACTGTAGAATGTAACAAGAATAACATAACATTTTCATCACTAAACATCTCATTCATTTCAAATCTATATAAAGATAATATAAACATCATCTGATATAACAAAGGAAAAATATAATAATTCCCAAGTTTCATCAAAGACATAGTACAGAGCTACTAAGGAAATCTAAACAAATTCAAAGTCACGCAATATTAAAATTATTTATTAACCTCAAGAGTAGACTTCAAACATAGAATAAACATTAAAATAAAATTTAAATACTTGCAGGTCAGTCTTCTTTCACCTTTCCCTTTACCTTTACCTTTCCTGTAACAACAGCCAATAATAAAATACTGGTGAGCTATGAGGCTCCATAAGTTATGCAACTTTAAAAAAATATTTAACTTGCATGATTATAAAATTCAGAATATTAAAAACAAAAATAAAAATTAGACGGCTTGAAAAAGCTTCATAAAATCTCATTTGACATTAACCAGTAATTCTTCTTAAATACATACTGAATATCAATTTTACTCATTAGAAGATTTGGCTATTCATTCATAAACATATTCAATGGAGCCCAGGTAAACCTAGCATTATCGCCATTGAATTACACAGGGTCCCTTTTGCCTCTTTGGGGTCCCTTTTGCCAACATGCTATACAGTTTTCATTTCTTTGGGGTCCCTTTTGCCCCACCTGCTATGCAGGTTTCATTTCTTTGGAATCCCTTTTGCCCCACTTACCAAACAATTTAATATATGGGGACCCTTTTGCCCCACCTGCATTGGTAAGTTATATATAAATATTTAGTCAAACTTTACTTTTAAATTAATATTCTGTACATTTTCCATATTTATAAATCATACTTATTTTGTTGCATGCTTTCTTAATCATTCATATTATAATTTAGATAACATGAATATGCACATAAGTAAAGAAAAGAACTTTCTTCCAAACATTATCAATAAGAAAACATTTCAATGAACATAATAAACCTTGATTTAAACTCACATAATGAATTTATATAAGTGAGTATTCTTACTTGAAAACTTGACTATGAATATCCTTTAAAAATATTTATATAAACTAACTAGTAGTGCTTATTTTCCTTAAATTCATGCAATATCAAATTTAACAAAAGTTTTCTTTAAACTTTAAATTGCATCACTTATCTCTTTGACGAGTGATCTCTTCCAAACCTACACCACGTAACATTCTCCTTTGATACACTAACTGAAAACCTTCTCTTTGCATAAATATACGAATAATCCTACAATATGAATAGACTATCATCTTTTAGAAACTTGCTAATTTTTAGATAACATAAAAGATAACGATGCTTACTGTACTTCTTACCTTTTTCTTCTTTTAAATTCCTCTCTTAAACTTCCTTGATTATATTCTCACATCATTCTCACCTTTGAATCAAACTACAATTTATCACAAAATTCCATGTTAATGACATCTAATTCTTGATTACAATGTTCACTAATATCCATTTTACTAATTTGATAATACCTGTAACAAAATGTTACTGCATTGTGTTGAACTTCCCAATCAAGGTGCTGAATGCCCTACATGACTGCCTACTGCCGCTACCCAGTACTCTCCGCCTCTTGCTACAGTCCGGAGACACTATACCGATCAATGCTACAGGATTTTCTGCTTCTGTCCCTTGCTACTACTGTGCCGAATGCTTCTCAGCATCAATCACTGTGTCGCCTCCAACAACAGTGAATTCTGCGGCTTCTTCTATAGTCCCACCTTCAGCATTGTTCCGCCTTAGAAAGCATTTTCAATATGCTGACAGAATATCAGTAATACCTGCACTATAATGTTCCGAACCAAGCCACAGTGAATGCAAGAACTATGTCGAAGTTAAATACAGCAATTCCTGCACTCCTTCTCTGCTTTGCATACGAAAATTCATTTCAGTCTTTCCGGGTCCACCATTTCACGTGAATAGCACTAATAGATTTGTACCACTCCAATAACTGCTTTAGACGCTTATCTGAATTCCTTTGGCTCCAGTGAACAACGAGTTGAATAAGGATAACTGCCATTTTCCAACCAAAGCATCTATTCAGTCGTTAGGGATTTATCTAATTATCTATTTGACTTAAATGACTAAATTCTTTTATCTGTTAATATTAATATAATAGACATTTAGTATTAAGCTTATATCTTTAATATTAATCTATTTAATACTAACTAACAAATCATTATTCATCCATTTGAATTTCTACAAAGATGCAGACATTTAATATATCATTTTATCTATTAATTTAAGCATACCTATTTGGGTCTTACATGATTTGACTCAGTTGAGTTCAAATTGACTTGAATAGATTTAATTTGATTCAATTAATGGATTTATTGATTGATGTGATTTAGCCCAATCGAGTTTTGTCAAGTCAAAAATAGAGTTGAATTTGAATTGATTAATCCAATTTCATAAATTTGAGTTGGTATTCAAAAATTTTTATAACAGCTTGCATCGATTGACTTTCCATTTTAACAACAAAGGTGAGGTTCGATCTAATATGAGATAAATAGATGAGTTTCTAGCAAATCTTGATACTTGCCCTTATTAGTAGGGGTACTTGTGTTGTGTGAAGTCAATCTTATGTTGTGTGAAGTCAATCTTATGTTTGGATATGCTTTCTTATATTTGGATATGCTTAAGAATCAATTAATTTGTAGCTCATCAAATTGGATTTCCGTAAGAGATCAAACACTTTTGTTGAAAATGATAGAACTAGATTCATTTACTGCAACCTTCACACCAAGAAAGTATCTGAGTTGACCATGATCTATAATTTCCAACCCTTCTGCTAACTTTTTCTTCAAGACACTTATTTCAAAATCATATTCATTCATCTACGTGTGTACATTCTGGTTTTGCATACATTCCATCCCTTCTTAAAAGGTTTTACCAAACAATATGTTTTCTTATCTTTTTTATTACTCTTTATTATGAAGATTTAGGAATTAGAGTTTTATCATTTTCATTTTTCTTTTCCCATATGAATTATACTTTAAAATTTATTTTATGAATATGGAGATGATTTTGCATGTTGTCCTTTTATGGGGTATAGTGAATCTTCATAATATTTTCTTTTATGTCGCATAGATGCTATTGTTTCAATTTGAATAGAATTATACTTCCCTCAAAATATTACACCTAAAATGGATTATCTTGTTTTCATGCAAAACATCAATTTGTATGAAATAATCTCCCATTTTATATATAGGCCATGTAAGCATCTACTAAGCATCCACATCACTAATGAGTAAAAATTCAAAATAGGCCCCCGATTATTAGTGAATGTCCAATTTAGTCCTAGAATTTCATGATGATCCAATTTAGTCCCTTGACTATTAGAAAATATCTCAAGTTGGTCCCAAGGTAAAAAATAATTGTTAAATTAAGTTGGTCCCAAGGTAAAAAATAATTGTTAAAATTAACCCCAATAATTAATTATGGGAGTATTTTGGGCATTATAGTGTATCCGAGATATATATTATTTTTTATAATTTTTATTTTTTCTCATATTAAAATAAATACAAAAATCATAATGAAAATTAATCAACTAAATAACAAGAGTGAATAATTAATAAATATAGTTAACTTCTATTATGATTTTTGTATTTATTTTAATATGATAAATGATAAAATATATAAAAATAATAATATAATCTCACATACACCTGAATACTCAAAATGCCTTCACATTTAACTATTGGAGTTAACTTTAACTGTTACTTTTAGCGTTGGTATCAAATTGAGATATTTTCTAATAATCAGGGGGTCAAATTGGGGCATCATGAAAGTCTTGGACTAAATTGAATATTTATTAGTTGGGAGACTATTTTAGGCTTTTTCTACGCTGATTGACAAGAATCTATAATGGCCCAAAACTTGTGATTCTATTTGGGTAGTGTAGCTTTACTAATTTTGCAGCTTCATTACTATAACTGTTTTGTTATATGCTGGCATTTTCTTATATCATTTCTCAATTCGGCGTACATCTGCTTCTTGCTTTTGTAGCTTCTATTTGGGAAATCAGCAGGCTGAAAACGGCATACTCTGCAACTTCCAAATGCCTTGTGACAAGGATTTTGGAAATACATTCAACTATTTGGGATAGGCTGAAGAAGAGATATACTACAAATTTTGAGAAGACCATTCCTTATGCTTTGCTTTGTCAAGTTGGAGGTTGAGTTCTCATGCAATGTGCTTAATTACGATTTATTTTCCTTTTTTTGAATGAAAGCTGGAGCAAACACCTTCACATTGAAATATGAGAAAGATTAATATGCTAAACTAAGAAAATATGTGAAAAGAACAAAATAATCATCATGCAACTTAGCAATACCTAATTTAAATAATAGTTTATCTTGAATCTTAAATTTGATTTATTCTTGTTCTAAGAGTTTCTTTATTCCCTTGGTGTCCAGCCAAAAATAAACTTGGAAGATGCTGTTAAACTAAATGGTTTTTGTTTTAATTGTAAAAACATCTGATATCTCTTTCATGCTAGAAATTCAACATTATTGAGAGGGAGATGTTCCAAATGTCTTTGGAATCATTAGTAATATATCTCGCCATGAGAGAAGGCATCATAAACAGTCTCCATCGAAGTTATGATTCTAAATAGATGATTTAGCTTTCTCCAAATATTAGCAAAAAATACATATTTGAAGAATGTATGAGAATGAGAATCTTCCTTGGATTGAAATTGTACAAATTGAAGATATATTCATACCAACTTCCATCAAATGAGCTTTTTTAGAAATTTTATTGATGTAGATGAATATATGATCAATATAAGAAAAGCCACTTTTAATGGAACCAGAGCTTTCCCACTACAACTGATGAAGGTAGTATGAATGTGATAGGACATACTTGATTTCAAGTATTTCCTAATCACTCTGGCAACAAACTTTCCCACTACAACTGATGAAGGTAGTATGAATGCAAATTTTCCTTTGAGAAGGATAGATATTTAACATTAAATTGTCCACCAGAAGACAACATTCACTTAGGTTTGTCAAGATTAGAGATGACGTCAATTTGTATCAGTATAGAGGTCAGCAACTTTTTTATCAAATGCATTGGGAATAATACCTTTCTGTTGAATATCAATGAGTTAAACTTCACTTGGAGGGATTTCCATACTCATTTCGAAATGAGATGTTTATAATGTAAACTATAAGAAGTCCTAGGTGTTTTGGCCTTAAAATATTCCAATCAACAAAATTGAAGCTCTTAGCCTTTTCGCTACCTTTCTACATGGTTGCTTCTCCACCTCTGGGTAGCATCGTATGGTCGGTAATTTGGTCAAATTTACTAGGTATCTATAACATTATTTCGTAGAGATTCTAGCACTCATTGTTAGTAGTTTCTTAAGTACAATTGCTGCCTTATTGTTTCTTTTCTTTCATGGTTTATTATTTCCAAATTTTACCCATTGCGGTCATATTCTTGTTGAATAAAATTTGGAGCTTTCCATTTTTTCTTCAACTTGAGAATTTGACTTTTAATAGAACACAATGGAGAAAAAGAATTCATATAATCAACCCTACGTAATGGGGTAAAGACTTGATGTTGTTATTGTTATTGTTTCTCTTTAACTTCTTTCTTTCTTGAAGCGAGGATTTTTCACTAATCTTATTCAGATAAGAGAAAATATTCAAATTTGAACTTCAATTGATTATACGATGCAATATAAATTCCTCTTGCAAAACCATTTTTGAAATTGAATTACCAGATTTTTTTGTCTCTTCTTCCATCTGAGACCAATGATTTTTCAAAATAGCCCGCCCTTTTGAATGCTTGTTAATGTTTTAGCAATGCGCAATGAAAGATCCAAGTCATTACTATCTATTGGAACTACAGACAATGGAGTTGAAATGTTCATATCTTTATAATCTTCCTGGGAGGCATTACAAAAAAGGAGAAATAATAGCTGTATGAACATAACTATTAGAGTGAACCTTAGTACTTTTCAGAATGGCCTATAGTGCTTTCAACAAGCACTCACACTTTAGCTTCCAAAAGCTAATATTTGGCTATGACGTGTTTATCCTTGTAAATTTGTTTCTCAATCTTAGAAGTGATGAATTCCAATGCATCACAATTCTAGTAGCCATAAGGAAGTTCACGAATACCAATCCACATATAGACTTTTTTTTTTCGAGGAGAAGCTTCTATCATCTCATCCCACTTGTTAGCTATGATAGAAAATCCATATAACTTAATAAATCTATTCTTACTAGAGATTTGGGAATATCGTTGGAATTGAATTTGATGAAGAAAGTTCCAGATTTAACAAAAAGACGGAATGATGCCATTCACTATATCAATATCATTTCAGAGCTTCGAAGAGTTTCTCTTTGTTAATTCTATTTTTTCCAGACATAAGAATCTGAAGAATTTGATATGCTTTCTATCTTCTTAACAGAATTTAAGAAATTCATATGAATGTTATCTATTTCTTTTCTAATTGAATGACATTTTTTTTTTCTAATTGAATGACATGAATGTACTGTATGGCCAACTTTTGCAACCAAAGAGAAAATCATTTCTGCAATCTTTTACAAGATGGCCCATGGCATGCAGGGATTTGTCTACGTATGGTAGAGGCTCTATTATAGAAAATAAATGAAGGTAATTCTTGATCAGATCGATGTATATTTTGGATATTGGGATTTCATACGGAATAGTGGTGTGCTTGCCTTCCATCCTGTTGATGTTTGAAACCAAGCGCAAAACCCTTACTCAAATCAAGTTGCCCAATTATTTCTTATTATAGCACTGAGCACATTTGAAGAATGTTGACCTCTAACTGTCGGAGAACCCGACACCTTCGTTCGGACAAAACCGGACCAAGCCAGCAAACCCTACGATAGAAACTACCCGAAAACTGCCCATGATCGCACAACCGTCACCTCTCACGACATAAAAACGCTCCCTCTCATTCGGTTCTCCCTTATGCACACATACGCACAGAGAGAAGAGAAACGAAGTTTTCAGAACTTACCTCTCGATCTCCCATCCGCAAGAAGCCCACCGACTCCAACCAGCAAACCCTACGATAGAAACTACCCGAAAACTGCCCATGATCGCACAACCGTCACCTCTCACGACATAAAAACGCTCCCTCTCATTCGGTTCTCCCTTATGCACACATACGCACAGAGAGAAGAGAAACGAAGTTTTCAGAACTTACCTCTCGATCTCCCGTCCACAAGAAGCCCACCGACTCCAACCAAGCCTTCTTACCACCTCCGACTCCTGCCGACCCCGTCATCCCGCCTGAGCCGACGCCGCCATCCTCCCGCTTGAGTCGCTGCCTGCCGACGCCGAACCCGCCGACCAAATTGGCCCCGTGCGTGAGCCT